CGTGCTGTGATAGAAGAAATAGTTCGAGATATCATACGGTCTGAAACGAGAAAAAACTCTTTGGCACAAGAATCTAGTGATTTTTTAGCTCCTTCCGTGGCTAGACAGGTAATTTACAATAAATAGTCTACAGTGCATATATTATCATAGAGTATGTAGTAACACTTTGATAACGTGTATAGGACATTGGAGTTCCAGAGTCTTCAAATACACCAGTTAATAAAGAAGATGCTCATGTAGAGTCACATGCACCTTCAGAATCATCTAGCAGGCCTCAAGTCCAATAAACTGATGCACGAATTCAACAATCAAGTGCAAACAAGGACAAGCTTAAAAAGAGAAAACTTTATGGGTAAATTTTCTCAAACATATTTCACCTTATTTGTAATTTTTTTTTTTTTAATATCTTATGTTATATATGACGTGGTCTGATGATTATCAATTTGGATAATTATTTTCGAGTGTAAGGAGTATTTGGAAAAATTGATGGTTGATGTGAAGTTGAAGTATCACTGTAGACCATTAAGGTAGTAGTTATAATACAATTTGATGTTTTTTAGTAGACAATTTGATCATTAAGAAATGACTTGTTTTTTTAATTGTTCAGGAATACACTGTATGGTAGATTGGAGCAAGGATATGCATGCCACTAATCAGCCAAATCTAATTAATTTCAAAGTTATTTGTTTTTAATTTGTTGTTTTTGTTAGAAGTATTAATACTTCAAGTTCAAGTGTTGTTTTGAAGATATATTTTGTAAAGTTTGGTATACTTTTGGAAAGCAAGAATTCATGTTTTGAAGATAGATTTCATAAAGTTTGTTAATATTTGTGTTTATATTTGGCATCTGTTATATTTTTGTTGGGAAAATATATTAATATTTGTCATTTGGTTAAATTGTTGTATAGGTTCCATTATTAATTCGAACAAAATATTGGAAAAAATGTACTAGTTTTCCCGACGGTTTTCAACAGTGGATAATGTATTTGTTGACGGTTTTCAAAATATATTCGAGTATTTACGATGGTTCTTAAAGCGTCGTTAAAGGTTTTTCCTGACGGTATTTTTACATGTAGAAGTATATCCGACGGCCTTTTCTTGACGGTTTTGTGACGGTTGAAAACCGTCAAGCATAATGTTCCCGACGGTTTTTCTACTATTTCGGAAGGTTTTCGTCCGTCGCATAAAGCCATAAATGTTGTAGTGAAATACCCTTTGTACAATAATTATTTTAAAAAAATCGGAAATTATAAGATTTGAATCAATTAAACTCATGTGTCTTCAATTCAAAAAACAATATTCAAAGATTTGATCGATTAAGCTCAACTCATTTCAATTCGTAGACAATATTCAAATATTTGAATCGGTTAAACTCAATAATTTACAATAGCGTATTAATCAAACTATGTATAGTTAAAGTTTAGTATCTTTTTTTATTGAATTTTATCATAAAAAATAATAAAATTTAATTCGTAAAAATCGTAAGATTTAATCGGTTCATGGTTAGATTAAATCTTACGATTTACGATTTCATTCTTATGATTTTACGAATTAAATTATTATTTTTTTGTTAAAATTGAATTAAAAGGATAGTAGACTTTAATTATAAATAGTTAACTCGATTAATACGTTCTTGTCAGTGGTTGAACTTAATCGATTCAAATTTTTGAATAATATTTACAAATTAAAAGGATTTGCGCTTAATTGATTCAAATCATAGCTTTAATTAATTTTATGATTTGATTCTTACGTAATTAAGGAATTATTTTTTTATGATAAAATTGAATTAATAATGTATTACACTTTCATTAATATTAGTTAATTTGATTAAGACGTTCTTGTCAATAGTTGAGCGCGCTAATTAATCGATTCAAATATTTGAATAATATTTACAAATTGAAAGGACTTGAGCTTAATTGGTTCAAATATTACGCTTTGATAAAATATCACGATTTACGATTAGGTTCTTACATGTGTTAGGAATTAAATGTATTATTTTTTATGACAAAATTGAATTAAAAAGATATTAGACATTACTTATAAATAGTTAAATCAATTATGTAATACGTTATGTCAATAGTTAAGCAACCGATTCAAATATTTGAGTAATGTTTACTAATTGAAAGGATTTGAACTTAATCGATTCAAATCTTACTATTTGATTAAATTAAATATTAAAAGAAAATTCACAATATAGTATTTGTAGTATATACTTTTATTTTAAAGTGAGAAAACTACTAATTGGAATGAGTTATATATTTTTCTTCTTCTAAATAAACATATTATTTTATTTTTTATTTGGATTTGTCACACTATTGATTTAATAACATAAGTGAGTTTGAATTAAGTTATGCATTTTTTATATTTAATTGAGCATTCTTTATATTTTTAAATGGTGGAGTTTATTAATAATTCTAATATTATATAATTAATGATAGATTTTTGGCGTATTGAACTGCAATTCTTTATATTTTTCAAACTTTATTATATTAAATTTGTTAATAATTTATTTCATATCATTTAATAATAATGAAATATGGCAATTAATATTTTAATTAACAGAATTTATACAATTATGGTTAAATGTACCATAATAAGTTAATGTGCTTGGATGGTTAGGAGTGATGAATTTATTAAGATGTCTCATGTTCTATCCCTAATGAATACATTTTTTTCGATTATTTATCAAATAAAACTCGGTCACAATGAATTTAAATTAATTATTCAATTAAAATATAGTAGGGGGTAAATTAGACAATTCAATGTTAATCAAATTTATATTAATTTAATAAAAAAAAAATAATCGAAGGATAATTTGGTAAAGTACTTCATCTTTTAGTACATAGGCCATGTTATTTTCCTAGGGTCCAGATATAATCTTAGAAAATTAATGGTAATTAATACATATCTCATATAAGTTTAGAACACAGGTGATCTCACCCTAGAAAGACCCTAGCGAAATAAGAGTTATCTCAACATTTGGTACGGTATCAGCACCGCAGTGTTACTATTCGGTATGGTAGCGGTATTAAATTTGCAATAACATGGCAATATCATACTTACCATACCCCTAATTAGGGTTGCGCATGGGCCGAGTCGGGTAATTATTGGCCAATTATCTACTCGATCGGACCACCCGATTTTGCTGAATATTAAAAACCATTACCGGCTCTACTATTATGGATCGGATAATGGTTGACAACTGACTTTGTCGGATAAACAATAGGTCGGTTGGGGTATTATTGGCGATCTATTTTTTTTATAATAATAAGATGTTTTTTTTTAAATTCAAAATATATTTAAAATTTTGGAAATTAAAACTTTATATTGCAAAAAAATTAACTTTAAAATTAAGAGTAGTTTTTT